TAGAGACTGGAGCCCCGTGCTTTCAGCTGTGATTAACGATCCGGAGGAAGCAGGGGAGTATCTCTGTTGGTTCCTTAGTGTAAAATGGGCTTGAGGAGGAGAAATAAGCCCCTTTTAAGCTGTTGTGTGTTCAGCCTCCCCCCACCATCCCAAATGCACTTCCTGACGTCATTAGGTTCTTGAGAAAACACTAGTGTCTTTGTAACAGAGAAGGTAACGGCGGCTGCAGCTCCAGGGGCGGTGGGGTTGAGTCACCACCCCAGCCGTTTCATTTCTTATGCAGAAGGGGTAGACTTGACCTAGAAGCTAGTCCTGAAGGGTTTCGGAGACCTCACGGTTGGGTTTGGCTTCAGGTGGGGACATCGGGCAGTGTGCCCAGGTGGCTAAGAAAGCCAAGAGCATCCTGGCTTGTGTTAGAAATAGCGTGACCAGCAGAAGTAGGGAGGTGATTGTCCCCCTGTACTCAGCACCTGGAGTATTGTGTCCAGTTTTGGGCACCTCAACACAAAAGAGATCTTGAGGTGCTGGAGCGGGTGCAGAGGAGGGCAACGAAGCTGGTGAAGGGCCTGGAGAATAAATCTTATGAAGAGCGGTTGAAGGAGCTGGGACTGTTTAGATTGAGGAAGAGGAGGCTGAGGGGAGACCTCATCTATCTCTACAACGACTTGAAAGGACACTGTAGAGAGGTTGGTGCTGGTCTCTTCTCACAGGTAATTAATGACAGAATGAGAGGGAATGGCTTCAAGCTCCTACAGGGTAGGTTTAGACTGACCATTAGGCAGGAATTTTTCACAGAAAGAGTGGTTGGGCATTGGAACAGGCTGCCCAGGGAGGTGGGTGGGGCACCGTCCCTGGATGTGTTTAAGGGACGTTCAGATGTCGTGTTGAGGGATATGCTGTAGGGGAGGACTTTGTAGAGTAGGGTTGATGGCTGGACTCGATGATCCCAAGGGTCTCTTCCAACCTGAATGATTCTATGATTCTATGATCAAGGGAGGCAAAAACCCCAATGTCCTGGAGGAGAGAGAAGGAGCAGCCACGTTAAGTGGGCTCTCGTTGAGCCCCTGCAAAATCCTGCCTGTAAAAGTGTCTTGAAAGCTATACTTTGAGAAGCTCTTTTAATTGGAGCCTGTGTGTAGGATTTTGTGGAGTTTGTTCCTGCAGGCAGAGGTCTGGGAGTGCTGATGGGCGATGCTGCGTGGCTAAGGCCAAATCTGGAGTGACTGTTGAGCCAGTGAAAGAGAGAAAGAGTCGTGTCCCAGTTAGAGTTACAGCACCCCATCCCCAGTGTTGAAAGAGAGAGAATTGCGAAAACCCATTTGCGTCGCCCCTTAAAGCTTATCAGATTTAAACAAGCTTTTAACTTGACGTTTCCAGGAGACATTTCAAAGCAAATTAGAAAGGAAAGCTTCCAGCCTAGTTTTAAAAGCTGGTTTCCCTGAATGTTTTTTAACTTCAGGAAATGTTACCGATGTTCCTTCTAGTAATATTTGTTTGAATGCAGCTCGTGAGTTCTCAGCAGGCTTTGCTCAGATAGGATGATATTTGCCAGCAGACTCTCGTGCCGGTGCAGTGATCCATCACACGACGCAGGTATCCAGAGTTGTGCGCTCTCTTCACAAAATACTTAAAAGATTTGAGCAAAGTTTAAAGTAGAAAAAAAAAAAATATTGGTTCAAGAGTCTAGTTCATCAAATCACTCAACGTGTGGGGAACATCTGAGCGTTGTCCTGGCTCCCGTGAGCTTCGGGCGGTGCGTCTCTGTGCAATAATGGTGGGATTTGGCTCCCCTGGTTGGAGACATCGGCACTTTGGCCACGTCCCTGGAAGCTTTGGCTGCAGCGGGGTCTGGCTCGGCCCCAGAGACCCTCCCTGAGGACATCTCAGGGCAAGCAGGGGGAAACTTCTGCTTGCCATGACCACCTGCGCTGGACGCTAAAGTAAGCCCATGTAGAACCTCTTGTCCGGTTTTATCTTAAAATAAACGAAAGAAAATACATTTCAAACGCTGGGCTCTACTCTGCTGCATTTAATCTATAAAACTGGGAAGGGATTCTTGCTTGAGTTGTTCCTATTTGTGTTTTTTAGAATTTCTGCCTTGGATGATTTTCCCTTGTCAGTGAAACCGTAGACCTTGGGTATTATTTTATTACGACTTCCCCTGAGACATAGTTCTGACCAGGATGTGGCCTCACAGACAGATCCCACACACTGACCAGGGTGTGAGCTTGGTGTGCATCACCCGCTGCCCAGCAACTGCCCTTTCTCCTGGGATGGGTACCCAGGAGTGTATTCCCTCCCATTAATGGATAAGGATGTTGTATTCACTCTGGGGTGGGAGCAGACACGTACACTAGAGCTGCCATCCTGCAGACACACGTCCTCATTTATCCAGCAGGACTTTGCCCATCTGCCCATCTCCCGAGACACAGCTGAACTGTTGTTTCCTGATGTTCAGATGAGGCTTGACCAGTTTAAACAGAAACAGAACCTCTTTTTTTAAGATTTAGCTAAGACTATTAGTGCAACCCTAATGATTTGGTTGGTTTTTTTTTTACTGTTAGTCACGAGAGTTTTGGTTAATTTGGTTAATTAATTCTTTTTGGTAGTGTAAAGACTGACCGTTAAGCATAATGATAGCTTCTTGTGGTCTCATTTGACCTTCCCCTCATCCCATCTGAGCACAGTGTCTGATTTACACTTTTTTCTCAAACTTCTCTTTGACTCCAGTTTTTGACTTGAAGCAGCGGTAGCTGTATTCTGAATCTGAAGTTAAATAAAAGAGCTTATGAGATGCTTAAGAGATAGATGTGTACTCTATCTGTAACTTACTTCTTTAATGCTGCTTTGGACCAGGTTGCTGAAGGAATAAGAAACTGCAAACCTCACTTGGAATTTTTTTAATGTAATTTTCTGAATAATCACCACAGGGAAAGCCATGCTCACAAGCACTGGGTGCAGTTGTGTGTCTACCAGTTAAAACCTCCAGTGTTGTCTGGCAAAGTTTTATTTTGTTTCATCCAGCTGAGCTCACCCTCAATCTCAGATGGATGATTTATCTCCACAGAGTCCACGTTGGGCCTAAGAAAGATTTTGATTATTTTTTTCTGTTACTCCAGCGAAACCCATTTGGTTTCTACTTTCTGACCATCAAGAAATGACCCATGACTTCAGCAACAGACCCTTATAAATAGTATAGAGGACAATACGCTGACATAGTCTTTGCAGTTCAAATGTGAAGAACCAAGAGAAGAGCAGTAGAAATGTGAGGTTCTTCCTAAAACGAAACCTTTCTGGTCTATGGGAGGTCTCAATCGTTCTGAGAAGGACTAAAGGTCTCCCTGGAGATGCAACCCCCTGCCCTGGGCAGGGACACCTCCCACCAGCCCAGGTTGCTCCAAGCCTCCTCCAACCTGCCCTTGAACCCCTCCAGGGATGGGACAGCCACAGCTTCTCGGGCCAACCTGGGCCAGGCTCTCACCACCCTCACACCAAACAAGTTCTTCCCCACATCTCAGCTCCATCTCCCCTCTTTCAGGGTCAAACCCTTCCCCTTCTCCTTCTCCTATGGCTCCCCTCCCAGATAAAGAGTCTTTGACTTTGAGTCCAAGCTTTCCTGGAGCCCCTTGAGGGCCTGGAAGGGGCTCCAAGGTCTCCCCGGAGCCTTCTCTTCTCCAGGCTGAACCCCCAACTCTCTCAGTCCCCCCTCCCAGCAGAGGGGCTCCAGCCCTCCCAGCGTCTCCATGGCCCTTTGCTGACCCATGGACAGGTCCATGTCCACTTATATTTTGTGGCAGTCCACCAGGATTAGCAATGTTTGTGTGTCACCTCTCCAAGGCCAGGTGATGTCAGCGCTATTTCTTTCTCTGTCCTTTCCCTTTTTCAGTCGTGTGACCAGCGATTTTGTCTTCCCAAACATATTTCTTTTCTTTGAATGACACACTTGGTACTCCATCTTTTCCTTCTTGGGAGCCTTCCCACCAAATAACTTCCAGTTTTTCTTTTGAAGCCAAAAAAGTGTGCTTTATTCAACTTAGTTAGCATCTGAGAAATAAACACTTTCCGTCGAGAATAACGTGGGAGTGGTTATTGAAAATGGGGTTTTAATAGCACGGTGGTGAAGTTCTGAGGTTTTGAAGGCAGATCAAAGGTGGTGTTGAGCGGAGCTTCTGATGGTGTTCGATGGAGAGTCAGATTGAAGTTGCTGAGGGTCTTTGTAAGAGCCCTTTGTGTTGCCCAACACCCAACCGCCCCTCGCTTTTGTGTAAGGTCCTTTCCCTGGTGTCTGTCCCTCTCTAAAGAACTTCCTGCAGCTTCAGGGTGCTAATAACTTTTCCTTGTGCGGCCCAAATAATAGATGAGTAATTTGATTATCTGTCTCTCCGGGGTTAATTTAAATTCTTATTTTATTTTATTTTTTTTTTTACTGTGTATTGTTACCAGGAGCAGTTAGTGGTGAAAATACGTGTGTTTTGAAATGCAATTACTGATCATACCTAATAACTGATTCTTAGTTCGGTCATTTTAAGACATGAAAAGGGCACCTACTTGCTATCACCATTTTTAATATCCAGTTAAAGTAATTTTATTATAAAATGCAGGGTATCTTTTTGCTTTATTAAAAACTCCAATAAATAATTATGAACATTTTGTTAGGATACAAATTGTCTGACAGCTTGGGAATATGTTTTAAATATACCATTTATATGACAAATAAGGAAACTAATAACTAATTAGGTGGAGAGAGCTTTAGTAAGTGAGAAAATGAAACCTATTCAATATAGCGTAGATGAAATGACCTTTTGAAAGACCTATTTTTGAACAAACAAGGTTGACACTGTAAATAAATAAAGTGTGGCAATTTATCTCTGTATTGAGAGGCAGGAAGGAGGCCTTTTCATAAACCTTCAAAATGGAAAGACCTGATCGAATGTTTTAAAATTTTGTTTTTTCTCTGTTAAATCTGTTTAATGATAATTTTTTGTTGTTGTTCTTGGTAGAACCGGACACTGGAATGGCTTCGTCTTCAAAGCCAGAAGGAAGTTTCCACACGGACAGTTACAATCCCTTCAAGGATGATGAGCCCCCGGAGTACTTGAACCCCTTCGAGGAGCCGGACGCTGAGCCCGAACCCTTCGTGACCGTGCGAGATTCTCCTCCCCAACCTGCAAAAAGGAAGAACCTCAGACCGGTGGATATGAGCAAATACCTCTACGCGGATACCTCCAAACCCGAAGAGGAAGAGCTAGATGAGTGAGTATGATTCCTCACCTTCCAGCAGCTTTGGGAGCATTAGTGGGAGCCCTGGCTTAACCTTGCGGTGTCTTGGGTTCAGCCGTGGGGATCCTTAATCACCTCCTTAGCTGAGCGGCAGCAGACGCCGTCCCCCCGAGCCATGCCACTCAGCCCTTAGGAAACCCAAATCTTGGCCTCACCGATCACTAATTCCTCGATAGGGAACGAGGCTGGGGATCCCTTTTTGGCATTTTGTGCCCTTTATTACGGGCGTCGTATTACAATTACCAACGAGCCAAAACTTAAGGAGCATCAGAGCCAGGTCCTTCCCGTCCTTTTTTTCCGTTAGTTTACTACATGAAATAATAATTTTTGTTAACGATGATGGAGAGCTTGTTTTCTATCAGTGTTTTCTATCAGTACATAAGAAGGAAGAGAGTTTCACAGCCCACGTAGCGTGTTTTTGAGACTCTCATGGAACTGAATCTCTATAGGGGAAAGCTCACACCCTATGGGCTTTCTGGGGTTGTTTCTTTTGTCGTCACCATGTGTAGAAGGTGGATAAACTCATGCCGACTGCTCTGCCTTCTCCCACAGGGACCTAACGAGGAGCCAGAGCTTTTGGCAGTAGCTGTGCCGCTTGGGAGGCTCGGAGGGATGTCCTTACTCCTTGTTTGTGGTCGTTAGTCACCAACCACACCACTCACGAGGCGGTTTGTGGTGATGACATGCGAGCAATTTTGCAGACAACAGCTGTAATTAACGTTTAGCTTGACATTATTTAATGAGATTTATCATGGCATGACATTTGCATTGCTTTCATATTTAGTACTAATGCAGGCGTCGTATCATCATCTTTGTGTTTCTCTGTTCCTAGCTGTGTTCTAGGAAATTCAGGGATTCCCATGGACTCTAATAGAAATGTATAGAGAACCCTGCAGGGTTTTTTCCCTTTTAAAGCTCTGTGGCCATGGATTTGTTGTTGTTGTTTGTTCGGGGGCAGGGAGGGGAGGGGAAGAGAAAGAAAAAGGGGCGTTGGGGGAATGATGTCTCTGCCAGCTCCGTTCATCAGGGCACTGCCTCTGTGTTAGGAGCACAGTGTGGTGATCTGATCTGTGTTTTCATTAAAAAAGTGTCATCCCACGGAAAGGTGGAAGGATGAGGACTCAGAAAACACTGTAAAATAGATTTTTACTTCTTCTACGTACGTTTTTTATGTCCTGATCCCACAAGGAGCTTCCTCTTCACGTTCTCCTCCTGGGTCACGGGAGCACCATGTCATTGGAAAGGACGCGGAGACCTTGGGTAGTGTGTTAGGTAGAAGTGTGACTAGGAGAACCTTAGAATCTTGATACTGAAATGCTCTGGAGGAATAGGAATAGTCCTAAGAACACAGGACTTGTGATACTCGTGCCCATGGGCACCAATACACCTTACCTCGTATAGTTAATTTTCAAATTTTTCGGTAGAACGTTTCTGCTGAGGTATGATATGGTGAGCACCAGAGGAAAGACAGTGCCAGTTGATAGTTTTTGTGTGCCCTAAATCAAGAGGATTTATGTGCAGATGTGCATTTTTTCTTATCTAATGTGAATATTGATGCTTTTATTATGCACGTAGGTGGCTAATCTTCTTCCAAATCCTATTAAAGTCTAGGCTTCAGTGTCAATTTCTGGCAGAGAGTTCCACAAAAAACAAGATCTCATGAGAAATGTGTTTGCTTTTACTGATTGTAAATAAGTTACCTTTCCAGTCCCATACGTGGTCTCTTCTGCTGGCTTATCAAAACAGCAATTAGCAGTGTTGGATTTATCTGCCACCAGCAGTTGCTGTTGTTGGGTATCTCCCTCACGTGTTCGCTGTTACGTGTCGCTTGCCTGAGTCAAACGGTGCTAACTTTATCCATCTCTCTTCATACAGAAGTCTCTTCATCTCTCTAATCATTTTCACCGCACGTCTCTGGACCCTGTTGGTTCTTCTGCTGTGTGTCTATTTTAAGATGTGTTGAGTTGGCCTGAGACGAGGCCGAACGACCGAGTCCTATCACGGCGTTAGAAAACTTTGCGCATTACTTTCAACCTCTCTTCTAACACCTCGGGGTTTAGTTTGGTTTGGTTTGGGTAGTTTTTGATAATTTTGGGCTGCCGCCGCTGGTCCGGTGCTTTCCCCAGGAGTGCCTTTGAGCCTGATGGAAGGCGTGAGAAACAGGAAGGCTCCTGAAAGACATTTGCTGTCTTGGTGGTGGGAGCATGGAGACCTGGGTTGGCACCAGGAGCCTTGTCCCACTCGGCTCTGGCAGAGCCCAGATTCTCATTCAGGACTCGGGAGCTTGCCCAAAGTGCCCCGAGAGCTGAACTCTGACTCTGGTGTAATCTTGGAAAAGGTCCTTACCCTCATTTCACCTCCCTGAAGGACTCACCTTGATTGATCGCCTTCATTGAGACACATTTCGCTAATGCTTGTGAAGATGAGATTTCACAACACACCTGAGCAAAGCCTGGTCGTGAGCAGCACGAGGAGGTGCTGAGTGGTGCAGAGGGATTTAGATGACCCAACGCTCATATTCTGCTCTAAAACTGCATCCTCAGAGTCCTCTGGTCCATTTCTCAGCCCCAGCCAGAGATGAGGAACACGTTTTCTTTGGGTTAGTCTGGGGCATTTGAATGTTTAGTGTAAAATTCTGCTTTTGCCTTTTGGAATTTGATACATTAACATCAGAATGGGAGGTGGCTAGTTATTAATAAAAGACAGCCTGCCTTGCTAAGCTTTAATTATTTGAAAATAGCTTAGCTCACAGCTACTTAAAGTATAATGCTTTCAGCCCTAGTGCTTCTGGTTGGGAATATTGCCTGATCCTTTAACCCTACCACACTGACACCTTTGGGTTTCCTCCTCAATAAAATGTTGATTTTTTTTTTCCCAGTTAACCAGTAACACCGATCCAAGTAATTTGTCAACCGGTCAGAATAAAACTTGCTTTGGGTATTATTTGGCTCTGTGGCCTCTTATCTCGTTAATCGTTGCATGGCTGAGAATAATGCTGGCTAATTGGAAAGAGGATGGAGTTGCCATCTCTCGAAGCTGCCTCTTGCACAGGAAGCCACAAGCCACCACGCTGCCAGTGGCACCTCAATGCCAGGTGGTTTGTCAGGTGTGGGGTTTTCTTTAATTTTATGGTGGACAGTCCAAAGTCTCTTTAAGCAAACGGGATTGTGTGGTCAATTAAATAACTTCACCGAAGCAAAAAGTGTGGGAGCCAACCTCAGGGAAAAGTGGTTTAATATTTTTCAGCTGAGGGTTTTTTGGGCCAGACTTTTCCCAGTAGGGCCAGGGAGGAGATGTTGGCCCACACTCTGCTTCCAGACTCTTCCAAATTTGTAGCCTCTCTGGACAAGAACCAGGGTTGTTGTTATTTCTGCATTAAGATTAATTTTTCAAAAATCTTTCTGAACGTTTCTAAGACTAATTAAAAGCAGTGGAGAGGGGAAGGTGGGAAATAGTGTGTGTGTTCTCTGTGCTATGACCCAAGTTGAGGGTTGAGCCCAGCTTTCAGGCAAGTTCTTCTCTAGGGTTCTTCTCTTTTCAGGCAAGTTCTTCAGTGGCTTTAAGCTGGAGGGGAGCAGATTTAGACTGGAGATTAGGAGAGGGTTCTTCACTGTGAGGGTGGTGGAGCACTGAAACAGGTTGCCCAGGGAGGTGGTTGAGGCCCCATACCTGGAGATATTCAAGGAGAGGCTCGACGAGGCCCTGGGCAACCTGGTCTAGTTGGGGGTGTCCCTGCTGACTGCGGGGAGGTCGGACTAGATGACCTTTGGAGGTCCCTCCTGGCCTGGACAACTCTATGACTCTATGACTCTAGGGAGAAAAGGCAGTCGCTTGGCTCCTTTAGCCCTTCTCCTGGTGCCTGCAGCAGGGGACAGTTCTTCAAGAGTATGCACAGAAAGTCCTGCAGCATAAAAATTCAAAAGATTGTTCTTCCAAACTTTTTTACTCTCATTGATGTATCTTTTTTTTTTTCTCACACCGAATTCCTTTCCACACCTTAGGGGCCGACTTTTCTGATTCCAGGTGCAGGGTAGTAAATGGCTTCTCTGCTAACCGTGCCATGCCTGTTGGCTGTCCAGCCCACCTACTCATTCAACTGAAGAAAACCTTGTGCTCTCCCGTAGAACTCGTTGTTCTTCAGCCTTTATCTTCATTTTCACCTCCCTTTGAACTTCCCGGTGTCTGAAGACAGAGGAGCTGAGCTGGGGGCTAAACCAGAGCTCCTGACAGCTCGATGCCTTCTCCACTCCAGCCTGTCCCTCCTTCTTTCTCCACTGCCTCCTGTGGAAAACACCCATCCCTCTCCATTTAACTGGGTGTTTTGGTGTTGCCTTCAGCCTGGTGGCTTCACTGGTGGCTTCATCTTGATGGGCAGCAAAGCGGGAACACCCGAAAGTTGCCTTCAGCCAACAGATGAGTTATTTTATTGTTAGTCTTCCCTTTCCCTTTGGTATCTGGATTTAGATCTCTTCCTCTGTAACGAGCAGTGGAGGGTTTTCAGCATGATCTGGAGTTTTTAAGCTCGGGCTTCTCTTATGTGCCTTTTAGAAGTAGACTTCTGTTCTGCAGCGGGACTGTTGATTGCTTGCTTTTTCTCAGTGAAAAGCAGATGGCCGTAAAGACATTAAAATATATCCTAAAATCAGTCCCCAAGACTGAAAGACATATTTTCCTAATAAAAGGACACAAAACTGAGAGGAATTGGGTGTGGGGTGAAAAGAAACTTGGATGAATAGTTGGGTTTCCACTTGTGCCCAAAGTTGGCTGTTGTAGTTCTTTGAAAAGGGTGTCCACTAGCTCCTGACTCTTCTCCAGAGGGGCAGTTTGGGAATGGATCTAGCAAGGTGGGCTCTCGTCGGAGGTTATTTGTCATGGACTGAGGTTATTTGTCATGGTTAGTTGGATGCAGAGGGAGCTTTGGGAGTTGCAGTGACTTCCTTCCGTAAACGTAGTTTGAGATACGTGATAACTCTATCTTGCCAAGGAAGTATGGACTCGAAAGGAACTAATTAACGTATCAGTTCTGTAATTAAGCATCCAGTTTTGGACAGCAAACTGTGAAAAAGCAAAGATTATGAATAAAATAATTCAGTGGAAAGAAGATTCCGGTAAGTATCCTCAGCAGGGTACAAATGGCTGGGGTCACTCTTGGGTATACAGCTGAGGATAACTGAAGAGTTAGCTTTATGCAATTGATAACATTTCTGTTATTTACAGGACTTCATAAAATTTCTAGAAATGCTGTTTTAACTGTTCACTCTTTCAATGGTACAAAAAAGTATTATCTAAAAGGCAAATATATTCTTATGTGGGGTAATAAAAGCATTTCAGTCATTGACTTCTCAGAACAGGTCTTGTTTTCCGTTTGAATTCCACGGCGATAGCAAAGAAATATGTTTCCCTTCTTTTAATTAGATCAAATCCATTTTATGAACCAAAATCCAGCCCTGCTTTAATTAAAGTTGCTCCGCTGCAAGAACCAGAAAAGAAGATGAAAAGGAAGGCTCCCGAACCACCAAACCTCTTGCCGAAGCCGGAGACGGGCGTGAGCGAGAACACGGTGGCCCTTCCCGCGTCGAGGGAGCTTTCTTCTTCTCCTAAGGTAGGTTTTCCACACCCAAATTTTGGCTTTGTTATTGGCAGTACCTTTATGTGTCTGGGAGACATCCTGTTTATTTCTGCGGGCCATCTTGAAAGCTTTGCTTGTACTTAATAAGTGTCGGCTCGTCTCTGTTGAGTCCCTGCTTCACAGGGAGAGAGCGGCAGTGGGAGCTGGTGTTTTTTCTTGGAGGATTTAATGACAATGGTACCAGCGACTGCTGTTTCAAAGAAAAGAGCCGTCGAGTAACAAATGTTACAGGACAGCTGGAGGTGCCGTGGAGAAGGAAGAAAATCACGTTGAACAATGCTCTGTCTTGATCTATTGTGGTGCCGCTAAGCCTTGCCCCTGTTGAAGAGTCTGTCTCCTCATTTCTGTCATAAAGCTGGGTTTTAAGAGCTTAGTACTGGGGACTGTTTATTTTTATTGGGAATTATAGATGTCCAATTCCTTAGGTATGTCGAAGTAATTTAAAAAAAAAAAAGACAGTCTACTTTAAATCAGATTAACTGTGTGTTAGGAACATCCAGACTGAGCTTATGTATGCACTTACATCTGTGTTTGGTGAGGGAAAATAGGCGTTAATTTCTGTGGAAGAGGGTGATGGGTGCCATAGGATGTCACAGCTCCAGCAGCTCATTTCTCTGTGTGTGAATTTCAGCTCCGGTGGTTCCGCCGTGGGCACCGCTCGTGCTTTTTTTGAACAAAACCAGCATTTACTGGTGTGTGTTAATGGGCTCCTCTTAAAAATGGATGTGGTACTGGCTGACTGCTTGTTGTAAAGGGCAGGGAGAGGAGGACAGAAGGCACTTCCAGCACACCTCTCCCAGCTTGTTATTGTCTGGTTTGCCTTGTATTGGAGCTGCTGTACTTTGATTTAAGAATTGGATGAAACTACTTGTCATATCTATCATTTGGTTGCTTAATTACTCAGCCAGATTGCTGGCCTGTCCTTGTCCCCCCCGGGCTCTGATCTTGCTGTCATTTTACCGCTCAGGGTAAAGAGTATGAGACCCGAAATCTAACCCGTGTCTGCACCGTGGAGAAACAAAACAACATGGTAAGGCCACGAGCACAATTCGCAGGTTACTCTTTCTATGCAAAACCCCAACCAGGGAAATATTAAATCAGAGCGTCACACTTTGATGCTGCACTGAGCTGGGGTTTGATCCTGAAGTTTCCGTCTGAAAAACTCACAGAATCATAGAATCATGAGTTTCCATCTGAAAAAAATATTGCACGTTATTTGATTTCTGGTGGGGTCTGGCCCTTGTGTCAAAGCCAAGGGGCCAAAGTAAAGCATTCTGGCGATGAGGCGATGTCCGCGGAGGAGATTTTATCAGCTCCCTTGATGGAGGTTGTGCCCCCGTTGCTCATTGTTGGAGAGGGTTTTTTACAGGTCTGCATCCAAGGAAATACATCTCTCTGCTTTATCGGTGTGCTCAAGTGATGTGTTACTGCTGAGTTTGGCTGCCCTTGGTTCTGTCTGCCCCAGACCAAGGTTTAGACTGTCTGAAAGCTGGGATTGATTAAGAAAAGGTGCAGGATGTGAAATGGCTGTGAGGAGACCGTGCTGGTACGGAGACAGTGGGGTGGACCCTGGTCTTACGCAGAGTGTTAGCTCCCAAATATTGTGGTCCTGCCCCCCCACCTCTCTGCCCCCGCTGCTGAGCCACAGCCCAGAGCAGCAACGGTCCCTGTGCTGGAACTTGGATGTTCATTCACCCTCATGAATATCGAAGGAAGGAAAATGGAGCTCTGTGCTGACCTTCTGTGGTCCAGAAAGCTTTAATTAGTTGGCTTGTTGGGGTTTTTTTACAAGATTCTGGAGGACACAAGACCATTAGGGAAGGCTCCACAGCAGACGTGGTGTCTTGGTTTATCATATAGAATCATAAAATGGTTTGGGTTGGAAGGGAACTTAAAGACCATCCAGTTCCAACCCCCTGCCCTGGGCAGGGACACCTCCCACCAGACCAGGTTGCTCCAAGCCCCATCCAACCTGGCCTTGAACCCCTCCAGGGATGGGGCAGCCACAGCTTCTCAGGGCAACCTGGGCCAGGCTCTCACCACCCTCACAGCACACAAGTTCTTCCCCACATCTCAGCTCCATCTTTCAATTTAAAACCATTATCCCCTGTCCCGTGGCTCCCCTCCCTGATCCAGAGTCCCTCCCCATCTCTCCTGGAGCCCCTTGAGGGACTGGAAGGGGCTCCAAGATCTCCCCGGAGCCTTCTCTTCTCCAGGCTGAACCCCCCCAACTCTCTCAGCCCCCTCTTCCAGCCGAGGGGATCCAGCCCACCCAGAATCTTCTGGACCTTGTTCCAACAGCTCCATGTCCTTCCTGTGCTGAGGATGAGAAAGCAAAGCCCTGTTTACAGCTGGAGTGGAAAGTTTCCCTGGCTGGGTGTGTTAAAATATGGTAGGGTCACTTGCAATGCAGAAAGCTTTCCGTGAGCATGGATTTATTTTTTTTTTTCTGTGCTTGAATTGTTTTCCTCCGAGGTGATCTAATAACGTGAGATCAAAAGCATTTTACTTGGAAGGCTTTTTGAAATTCGGAAAAGTACTGGCATTTAAAAGAAAAGAAAAGAAAATCAAACAATTTCCTCACGCCGTAGCACAAAATAGTGCCCAGGTAGGACTTGGGCTGTTGGCACAAATAAGTTGTTTGTTTATTACTCAATAATAAGTGACAATGTTTAGCAACTCTGAAAAAAAACCCTCCATCAAATGGTATAGGCACTAAACAAACATGAACTCAGCACACGCCCTCGTGCAGGGGGAGTAGTCCCGTGGGGGTAAACTTAGGTAAAGGGAGGTTAAATAACGTATCTTATTCCATGTTTTGTCCAGGTTTGCTGTGCAGGGAAAGCCTCTGCTACAGCTCTGACCAGAACTGAAGTGTCCCAACATGTTCAGTTCCCTCCCTGGGTTGTCTTCATGAGAAGCGGTTGCAGAGCAGAAATGCTCATCCTTAGAATACACAAAGGCAGCATTAATATTAGAACCTTAAAGTTTAAGGAAAAAGACTCACAATGTCATCTACCTTGACTTCAGCAAGGCTTTTGACACTGTCTCCCATAACATCCTCATTGGGAAACTGAGGCAGTATGGGCTGCATGAGGGGACAGTGAGGTGGATTGAGAACTGGCTGCGCGACAGGACCCAAAGGGTAATTATTAATGGAGCAGGTTCAAGTTGGAAGCCTGTAACCAGTGGAGTCCCCCAGGGGTCAATACTTGGACCCGTGCTGTTTAATATATTCATCAGTGACCTGGACGAGGGGACAGAGTGTATCCTCAGCAAGTTTGCTGATGATACCAAACTGGGAGGAGTGGCTGACACCCCGGAGGGCTGTGCTGCCATCCAGCGAGACTTGGACAGGCTGGAGGGCTGGGCAAAGAAGAACCTCATGAGGTTCAACAGGGAAAAGTGTAGGGTCCTGCACCTGGGGAAGAAGAATGTCAGGCACCAATACAGGTTAGGGGTGGACCCGCTAGAGGCAACTACTGAAGAGAAAGATCTAGGGGTCCTGGTGGACAGTAAAATGACAATGAGTAAACAGTGTGCTCTTGCGGCCAGGAAGGCCAATGGTATCTTGGGTTGTATAGGGAAGAGTGTAACCAGCAGGTCAAGGGAAGTCATTCTCCCCCTCTACTCTGCACTGGTGAGGCCACAACTGGAGTACTGTGTCCAGTTCTGGGCTCCCCAGTTCAAGAGGGACAGGGAACTACTGGAAAGAGTCCAGCGTAGGGCTACAAAGATGATTCAAGGATTGGAGCATCTCCCTTATGAGGAGAGACTGAGAGAGCTGGGACTCTTTAGTCTGGAGAAGAGAAGGCTGAGGGGAGACCTTATCAACGCCTACAAGTATCTCAAGGGAGGGTTGAAGGAGGAGGGAGCCAGACTCTTTTCAGTGGTTCCCAGTGAGAGGACGAGGGGCAACGGGCACAAGTTGGAACATAAGAGGTTCCACTCAAATATGAGGAGAAACTTCTTCACGGTGAGGGTGACAGAGCCCTGGAACAGGCTGCCCAGGGAGGTTGTGGAGTCCCCTTCCTTGGAGATTTTCAAAACCCGCCTGGATGCAGTCCTGAGTAACATGCTCTAGCTCTGGGCAATCCTGCTTCAGCAGGGGAGTTGGACTAGATGATCTCTATGGTCCCTTCCAACTCTAGAAATTCAGTGAAATTCAGTGAAATTCAGTGAAATGCTTCTGCAAATCTTTGACAGACTCTTTGGGGGTCATTTTTCCTTCACGTGCTAATGTTGCTGAACGCGAAAAATACAAATGCTGTTATTAACATCTATGTGCTGGCGAGGCTATGAGGTGGAAATTGCTCCTGAAAGATTATTTAACACAGGACAGATTCCTACTCGAGATACAGTTTCCAAACACTTGAAATGATGTTACCCTGTTAAAAAAAAAAAAAACAAAAAAAACCTCAAACATTTAGATGCTGAAAACAGTAGCCAGGTTCCTAAGTGTTTAAATGCCAATTTAAAAGTAGGGCGAGAAAGGTTGATATTTTCCTAAGTACACACCCAAAGATCAAATCCCTAGGGTATGGCTGGACACCAAAATTGCTTGGTTTGGTGTTGAGCTGCAAAGAGCCTTCCAGCGTTGGCATCCAGGGCAGAGAAACACTTCCACAGAAGAGCAATTGCTGTTGAAACACCACAGCCTGAATCCAGCCCTTCACCATTACTCAAGCAGTGGTGGAAGCTGTTTCTTGCCTGAGGGACACCTGACTGCCCACACATGAGTTTTTGTGTGTGTGTGGGTATGTTTTTTTAATTTATAACAGCAGTGGCTGCTGTAATGAAAGTGAAGAATAAAATAATCGTGCCATTTGAGAGTAGATTTAATCTAATGCATCTAAGTGAATTGCAAAAGGCCTTCTTTTAAGGGACTTGTATGGTCTTCTAACAGCTGAATGCTATTTCTAGATTTTCCTGGAATCATATCCACAATTAATTACCCCTATTACTCCTGACAC